AAACCAAAAATTTTCATGCTTGAAAGATTGGATTTCTTTCATGTTATTGCTTAATAGGGGGTCTGTCGTAATAGGGGGTCCGTCTTAGGCGGTTGTTAAAGCTTCTGTTGTGGATTACTGCAGATGTCATAAGAGCATAGGTCTATAAAGGTTTTGGTAGGCCACTTTCTATAATCATACACCTGGCCATTTTGAACAGTATTCGCCAATTCTTTTTGGCCGACCCGTTTTGATGGAGTGAATAAAGTGCTGAGGTCTCATGTTTTATATTTTTTACGGAGTAATGTTTGAAAATCGTTCGATTTAAATTCTGAGCCGTTGTCCGATCTCAGTGTTTTTTTTTTTTATCTTACCGTAGGGAGAAGAATCTACAATAATTTTTTCGGTTGATGACACAGTGTCATTTTTATTCTTGAGGAAATACAGGAATAAATCATATAGCGTACTTGTGTCCATTTATGTCCGTTAGTTCTATAGGCCCAGCTAGGTCTGTATGCACTAATTTCAAAGATGGATGTTGCCCGTGTATCAAGTTGTCTGTTTCTACTTTTTGAAAATTTTCCCTGAGTGCAGATTTCACAGTCGCTGCTAGTAGTATCTTTTCCTTTTATTCTCATCCCTTCAACTACGTCGGGTAATTTAGCGATATCAACGTAGTCGCAGTGTCCCAGTATTTTATGCCATGTGTGGATATCATAACCTCCTTGTTAACTGTCCTCTGTGTCGTTCTCTGCGATCATCAAATAATATAGTCTTTTGTGAATATGTATTTTGTATTTTGTACCGCTCTTGTGTATTAATTCATCTTTATTTTCTTTAAAAATGACTGTCGCTCCGTAGGTAGTCGCAACCTTATAAGAGAATATGTCTTGCGGGTAGGAAGGAATGTATAACACCTTCTTGAGTGTAACTGTTACATGTTTTCCATCTACATCTAGTATGCATGCCTCGATGTTTCTCCTTTTTAGTCCTATGTCGATAGTTTTAGTTCCATCTTTTAACTCTATCTAGTGGTTTTCCGGATGGAATGTCACGTATTTTTTTTAAGTTCTTCACATCCTTGATAATGTGTGAGGTATCTCCTGCGTCAACCATTAGTCGCTTAGGTATTATTGTCTTCTGTGTGTAGTAGTCGTTTATTTTGAAGGCAAACGAGCTTTGTCCTTTATCAGCTAGTTTCTTCATGGTGTTTCGCCTTTTATAACGGCGCGATTCCCTTTTGTGGGTAGGGATTTTGCAGTAGATTCATCATTGTTTACGCTTTTTTTTGTAGTTATTTGGATATATTCTGGCCATATGGCCCTTCCGGCTACACGTAAAACAGGTGATTTTTTGTCCGATGCGGTTTTCCTTCTTCGTAAATTTTGATGATGAGGAAGTCAACCTCATTACGTCGTAGCTGCTTGGGTTGATTTTGTGTTTTACCGTGTTTTTGAAACTCTGAAGTTCGGTTTTAAATTCCGAGAACCTTAGTATTTTGCTGTTGTGAGACACGTGTATGGAAAAAAGGGGTTGAAGTACTTTGGTAAGACATTTAGTGCCATTGCGATAATCGGGCATTGTCTACTATTTGTCCTGTATTTCTCATGGCTGTTAAGATGGTTTCCGTCCTTATAAAGTATTCGCTAACGTTTTCATTACAGTCCATTTTAAGTGACGTTAACGCTTTGTATAGAAAGATAGCCCTGGGTTTTCCTTTTCATGCATAGTGGTCGCGTAGGAGTTTTCTTCTGTCGTTTGAAGCGTCTCTCATTATTAGTGACAAGCTTTGGTCGTCTAAGAATTATATGAATTCAGCATAGGCTTCTTCTTTCCTTTCTGTGTCTCCTTCGTCTCTGGTGAGGTTTACCTAAGATGGCGTCTTTTAGGCCGAGTGTACGTAAATGGCCTAAGAACTTTGTTTTCCAAATTTCATATTTTTCTTCGTCTCCGTTGAATTTCCGTTATCCTTTTTGAGCCCATAGCCTCTTAAAGTTGACATGGTGCTGTGGAATAAGGGTTAGGAATTGACAAAGTCGAACGAAGGAAAATAACATATGTGTGTACAAACAGGAGTAAATCATTTATTAAACTTTCGGTACAGGAGAGCTAAGAAAGGTGAGATAATAGTCGGAGTTATCGGACTTAGTTAAGTGTTCTCAACAGTAACCATATTATCTGTGCTAAATTTGGTGGGACGCGATAGAAATCTTATGTAGATGGTTAACACAAAGATTGTATGAATGATTTTTAATTACCGAATTCACAAGATTCTTAATCATGTTTGACATTAAGGTAATTATCCAATGATCTGTCACTTCTGAAAATATTTCCCTAAAATATATATTTATTCATTTAGTTACATTTCTAAGTTCATTTATTTTGGTTGTATGTTTTCTTCCACTATCTTATAGCCTCATGATAAAAAAGATGATGATATTAGTGCAAATAACTTTATTTACACTGACGTTTCATTTCACAAGTGTTAGTGCACAAAACAGATAAAATAATTATTGAAAAAAAAATCGTAGAAGTCTTTCATCAAATGAAATATGATATAAACTGATGGCTTGCTGTGAAAATAAGTAAAAAGTTTCTTTTTCCGAGCAAATGAA